TACAAATCTATAGAAACCTTTAATAAAGATTCTTACACTCAGGAGTTTTTTCATGGTGCTCTGAAGTTTAAAAAAATGGGTACATTTTTCCAGATATGATGGTACATGCTTATAATACCAGCAGTTTAGTAGGCTGAGGCAAGAGGACTGCAAGTTTGAGGCCAGCCTCATCGAGGCCCTAAGCAACTTAGCAAGACCCTCTCTTAAAATTAAAAATAAAAGAAAAATGGCTGGGGATGTGGCTCAGTGGCTAAGTCCCCCTGGGTTCAATACCTCATATCAAAACCAAAAAGTTACATTTTATGTCCCTCTTAAATACTCTTCTTTACTTGCCCTGAGAGGTAATTAACTCTACCTTAGTTTAGAGTTCACCAAAGAGATCAAAAGTTCTCAGTAACCCTATCCTTTGGGAGCTAGCTAGGGAAATGCCACCATTCTACCCTACTAGAGTCTCTAAGCTCAAGAATCTGTTAAGAAAAAAAAAAGACAACAAAATGAGCCTTATTCCAGTGTTTTTCTTCAATGGTGTACACAGAAGATAGCAAACTGAGTCCCCCAAAGAATCCTAAATATCCCCTACTTTCCTAAAATAAAGTTATAATGAAGATTTGTGGGTTCTATACTTTTTTTTTCTTTTGGTTTAAACTAATCGCACTGGATTGCCTTATATTTGGCAAAGTAAATGTGTATCCATCATCAAAAACCAAGCACTAACCCGTTAAAAACATGTGAAAACTACATGACCTTCAATAGGTGACAGGCACGAGCAGTGGGAACAGGAGGTTAAGGGGATAATTCTATAAACTGGGCCCCCTGTGCTGACCCCACATGCTCTCTTTAAAAAACAATTTATCTGTAACCCTACCTGGCTTAAGTCAACAGGATATGTCACATTCCTGAGTGAACAACCTGCTATCTACAGGAGAAATGCAGGCTTGTTTTGCCAGTAAGAAAAAGACAGGTTACCTTGAAGCAGGGATAGGGTCAGGGCCACTACTTTGTGATCCTCCCACAGACCAGATCCCAGAACTCAAGAAGATAAGGATAATTTACCCTCATCATTAAATCTGTGAGAACAAGTTCCAGCTACAACTTGTTAGCATGGGTCACAGTGATTCAGCCTTGCTTCAGACATTCACCATGTGTAGTAGGGACTTGAAAGTCTGATACAGCTCTGCTGTGGGTCAGAAGTCAAGAGGTGGACCTGGGTGGGACTCTGGAAATTTCTGAAGGACTCCCAATAAAACTGGAATGGGGAGGGGAGGTGCTACCCTCTGAGAGGACCCACTCTCTTCCTTGAGAGTTTCTCCTTTTCCTATTCCTTCTAATCAACTCTGCTATTCTTTTACTAATCTCCTTTCTTGCCTGGAATCCTCTCAAACAAGAACACAAGCGGCTGGGACCTCTGTGGCTGTCTGGCTTTGTCTCTGTGGGAAGATCTCCTCTGCAACAGTTTTTAATATTAATCAAAAAATTGTTGGAGAATATTTCTATATTCCTCAGCCAGCTGGACTTTTTCATCAGATACAACTACCTTTTCCTAATACCAAAGGTCGTAAAGCTTTTCACCTAAGTCATAATAGCAACAGTAATAATAGTGACAATACTAATGATGATTTATATGCTCTTTACTGGCTGCCATTGCTGTACTAAGCATATTACGAGCACATATTTTTTTTAAATTCTTAGAAGACTATATATTGTAAGTATAACACAGGACAACTTGCTCAGTTAGGAAGACGGAGTTGCAGAAAGTTTAAGAAATTGATCGAAGCCAGCTAGCATGGGCAGAGTAAAAATTTAAGTCTAACCCATCTTTTCACATCCATAAAGGTGCAAACAACTCAATAGACTGCAATTGAATGCAATATCTTTACCCTCTTGATGAACATTGAGCCAGTTAGAATACCAACCCATTATTTCACAAAAAAGGATTGACATTTAGTGTGGCCTTTGTGCTCTATTTTGGACATGAACTTTTGTTACTCTGAACATTCTTTGACTAAGAACTTGCTAATAATTTGGGCAGTTATAACTTCAAAGTCTTTATACACTACTGTATTGCACACATAGGCCATTATTCAGCTTGATATCCAAATATTTAAATTTTCAGCTTATGCAAACATAATTACTTTATTCTAATATAGTTCTAAAAATATTAATAGGCTCATCTCTCTTGATTTTGGAATTGTGGTTCTTTGGGAAATATGTGTAAGATAATGTACAATATGATTAATAGATTAGTACATAAAACATTTCTCGACTTTTTTTCAACACCTCCTGCAGATATCAAATTTTCCTACATCTTCTCCCTTATATCTTGTTCACTTGTGTCTATTTTCCTTCAGCAAAACTAATTTTTCTTCCCTCTGTGAATTTCCTGCCCTCCCAAGCATCACGTGAGTTACTTGACAGCTACTTGAACATGGATCTCCTTGATGACCTCTAATCATGGGACTTCTAATTAACTGATGTTTCCATTTATTTGTTTTATAAAGACACATTAGAGTTTATTATGCAAAACATTCTTTTCAACCCTGGCAGACATATAACTCCACTATAGCTTTGACAAAAGTCTATAAAGAAAGGTCTTTTTTATTTTAAATACATATTCATGTGCAATTACGAAGACACTAATTCTACTAGTACTACAAAAAGCATAACTGACTTCTAGTACTTTCTGCTTCTAGCACTTTCCAGATGTCACTTCCTATTTGTAGTTTCTGTAATATATTTTGCAGAGTAATAAACTATTCTTGCCCTAGGATCAGAATTCACTGCAACATTTGTAGATACATGACAATTTTACTCTTGTATAATCAATGATCCTAGTCTAGATGCCAAATATATGCTTGTTTTTATGTGTACAGATTCCTTTTCATAGATCTTCATTTTGTAGAAGATTCTTCTCCTAAACTTCATAGGAGAATTTTATTGTCACTTATTGTCATCCCTGCCTCAGTATAACAATATTGAAAAAGTTGAAAAATAGACTCTTGTATCTTTGGTATCCTTTTATCTTTTTATCCTTCAAAGAATTTTTTCATAAAAAGTTAAAATAATTTAAAACTCATTGGCATTATTCTAATATGTTGTTACAGAGTCTAAGCAACTGTCTCTTTTATAGGCAACATAATTACAAGTGAATTACAAATGCAGACTTTATGACTCCAATTAAACTCCAGGCCACAATCCATTAAAAACAGATTACATTCATTAAATTAGATCTAAGCAAAAAATAAATATGCCATATAATTCAAACTATCAAAATAAATGAGGAGCAACAATTTCAACTAATTTGTTTATCTACAATTTTTATCAATACAACCAAAATTATCTTTTTGAATGTTATCAGAGCAAAAGTTTTACATTTCATTTTCACACATGCATACACATATTTACATATGTATGTAATATATACATATTTACATATACATGTATAGATGAGCATTTATATACATATATGTATATTTTGCAAAATATATATGTGTATTATATACATATATAATTCTCTACATACTGCCTCACTTCATTTTATTCAAAGAACATTGGAAAATATTTCCTAAGCATAAGAGATCGCAAGAGGTTCTATACTTTAGTTATAAGAATGTATATTCATTTTAAGAAAATCATGAACTCACAACTATTAAGTTAAAGGAATTTTATTTTGTAAGAATCAAATCAAGTGACTAAAAATCCTAAGCAAAATAAAATGTCAACATCATTGTAAAACTGCTTAAGTAAGCAGGTCTTAAGAAAAGGTAGCACAGTTTTTGTCAGCCTTAGCAGACATATAACTCCACTATCATTTCCATGTGGGAGGCTCACCACTGTAGTGTTCTCTCTGAACCTTTTGAATATTTAATGATCACATTACCTATGTAAAGGAGCTTGCAGCTTGTTTCTGTAAAGATCAATTCTACCTGGTCCTCACTATCATCTCTCAGCCTCTGCTTCTCCAGGGAAGAATGAAGAAATGAGGATTATGTAAATTTAAATTTAGCACCTGTCACATGTGCAAGAACATGATGAGGCAGAGGAAAAGAAACTGAAATACAGTAAAAATATCTTCAAGCATACTCTGGGGTATGGAGAAGGGTAAAAAGTAAATAGTATTTCAAATAAAAGATTAGAGCAGATTGAAACACATGCATTAGAAAGTATTATGTTAGAAAAAATGAGATAGTTTAGTACAGATATTCTAAGAATTTGAAGAGATTCCGACATTTGTGAGAAAAGGTAACATTGCTGATAGTAACATTTAAAGGAGGTGCAAAAAGCAAAATCTCATCAGAAGGCCTATATAACACATGTGGACAACAGCAATATACATTGCTCTACTAATCTGTGGCCCAGTATAGAGAAAATGAGATAAGTAAAGATGTAAGAAAGAAAATAGAGTCATTATTTTTCAATTGTTGACAAATAGTTTGAAGATAAAAGTTATGGTTCTAAGAAGATTATCAGGAAAGAAAAGATATATCACACTATGATATTCACTTTGGAATCAACCTTAAAAATAATGTCTGCATTGAAATACCCACTTTTTCTTGTCTAGCTCATGTAGTTTCACAAAGTCACCATTAGCTTGATAAAAGGTTTCTAACTGAAATATTAAATATCACATGATACTAATAGACATATTATTATGGAACAGAAGCAAAGTAGCTTTTCCAGTATTGGGTTTTCAACCATGAATCTTGCATTGGAAGAGGCTGAAAACACATTGGATGAGATATACATTTTAACGATTTAATGAACACAAATGCTAAATGTGCCAAGTACATCTAAAGTTTGGACTAAATCACCCCCTTTCATAGGAAGTCCTAAAAAACAAATTCATTTAAAAGAGAGTCAAGGAAAATATCTTTTAGAGGGGCAGATAATGGTCTTTTGACCTAGAATTTTTTTGTGTGCCCTTCTGGGGTTCAATCCTACTAAGAGTTTACTACAGCTATGGTTTGTTTATGGAAAGAAAATAAAATATGCCTCTCCCTTACCGCCTCCACTTCGGCAGGATCGTACCAGACGTTGATGTAAGGGTGCTGTAAGGCGTCATCCACTGATATCCTCTTGGCTGGGTCAATCACTAGCATCTTTGACAACAAATCCCTGGCTTGGCTGGCTGAAACAATCAATGAGAAACACAACCAGCAAGATTTTTATTTGTTGGATGGAGTGGAAACTAAGGCAAAAAAAAATCAACAAATATCTTGTTCCTAAATAAACATCAGGTACATTTCTGGATGTGCTGGAAAAAGAAATGAATTTTGCATTTCTTTCTATAGGTCTCGAGGCCTAAGGCATCATCTGGGGCTCATTGAAGTTATAATATAAATACATAATCATTCATTTAACATTCAAATAACTAAGCAACATTTACCAGAAAGTTAACATAAGCAAAATAATTTTCTTAGGTAATCTGGATGACCATAGGTTGAAGGGATAGCAAGCATAAAAATGCAAATCCATGATGTTTGATAAGTATAGTGATGGCTCTTTGAAGATAAGCAATGTGTATTTTCATGTTCCCGTTCATATTTTGGAATTATCAAAATTTGAACTGAATTCAAATTGATAAGAGATCATATAGCCCCAATTTTTTGTATGCATGAAAATAACCTGAAGAGTAGTAGTGATAGATATGATATAATTCAACTGGTGAATTTTCATTTTAACATTTTGTGATCATCAGGCACTTTAAATCAGTAGAATCATGATTTTATGAAATCAGGTAGTTAGTGGCTGAAGTCCATTCAATGCTACACATGACAACAATGTAAAACTACATTATGTTTATGTTACCAAGATTAATTTTATGATTATGGGTAGTATTAGTTGTAAAGTTATATAGTGATAACCAGTAAGCATATTTGTTTAAGAACACTAGTAAAGCCTCATTAAGTTTTAATCTCTAAAAAATACATAAAATTTTACAAAAATTACTGTTTGAATGGAAATAAATATCTTAAACCAAAATTGTTATTCAATTGATAGAAAGGTTTAATAGTAAAAATATTCAGCTGGTTCCAAATATATAGTAAAACAAACTTCAAATTAAAAGGAAGAGCCTCAATTGATTTAAAAATAAATAATGAAAATATAGACATATATCAATTTTTATTTCATCAATTTTTCAGAGTAAAGCAAGTAGGTAAATTGTGCAAAACTGAAAATAACATAATATGAAAATCAGAAAATACCAATTGTCCCCATAAGCTCAAGTCAACCACTGTATTTATGGGCATATCTTTTCTGTGCTGTTCATTTTGTCAGTTATTTGTTGGTCAAATATTTTTAATATAATTTTAACAAAACTACAGTTAAAATGTAGCAAGCCATTTTCACTTATTCTGTATTTCCATGTGTCTTCACATTTCAATAAATAAACCTTCTGATGTCTTGTTCTAACATGAAAAATCATTAGTTACCTAATTCTTTAGAATATTTTATGTCTATTAACCATTTTCCTGGTAAATTCAATCACAGAAAATCATTAGTATTATTTACAAATAGAAGTTTGACGCTTATAAGAATAATAAAAATATAAAAAGACTTGTATGTTAATTCAAACTTTAATCTTTCTCATTACCAGTGGCCTCCTAATGGCTACTTATTTCATTGTTTGAAAGACTTCTTTGATTTATAAATGATTTTACACCTATTTTCCCTTTTATTATTCTATCAAACCCACCATATTTCTCTTTTTAGGGTAGGGGCTGGAATAGGGGCATGAACTATACTAATACCAAATCATCTTAGGAAGAAATAATAGTAAATATCTTATGTCTGAAACAAAATGAGGAAAATATTTCAATGCTTTATCTTTCATTTGCAAAAAAAAAATCTGTTATGCTCTTTTTCAAATATAATGAAATATATTGTTTCTTTTGGCTATTTGTAAGTTATGATTCTTAACAATGTGGCAATTTTATATTAAAATTAAATTAAATAATCATAACAATAATAAAATAGTTTATCCTTTACAAAGAATATAATTATAGAGGTTCCACTTAAAAAGAAAACTCAAGGGGCAGGGGTTGAGGCTCAGTGGCAGAGCGCTTGCCCCTCATGTGAGGCACTGTGTTCAACGCTCAGACCACATAAAAATAAACAAACAAAATAAAGATATTGTGTTCATATAAAACTAAAAAAGATTTTTAAAGCAAACTCAAGAAAGTTGGAATTACATTACAGAGCATGATATACTTTAATAATTTTTCTACAAGTGCTGTCATTATCATTCAGTAGTTTAATGAGAGCTTTGCTGTTTTCACTTCACTTGTTATACTACAAGTGTCTTCATCAGAAGGGATGATTTTACCTAACATCTCAATTAGCATCCCGAAGGAATAAATGCTAAAATATCTCTTCTTCGAGTATTAGCTCTTTTCCAATCTGCATAAGGATAATGTTGATCTTAAAAATTATGGAATTGGTAATAATTTAGTCCATACCATACCTAAAGTCCATAGGAAAGCTAAAGGAAGAAATCCACTGTGAAGCTTAAGTATCAAGAACAAAGGAACAATATGGAATATTTAAAATCCACTAGGTAAAAGTTTGGAAGCAATAAAAATGTTTTATAAAATAGTAGCACTGCATTATAGTGTCTCTGTCTCATGTAAGTCTACCATAGGTATTCAAATTTGGTTAGTTATGTCTATAGATAAGGATTCTCCACTGAACACTTAAGGTTCTATTTCAAAGCGTGTGTCTTAACTTTTTCTTTTTTGATCACATATAAGTATTTTTAAATATATTTTTAAATTATTTTTAACAGCATTTAGTATTTGTTATAAGCTCTGAAGGCACTATATTAAGTGCAACATTAAGCAAATTCCTCCCAACAAATCCCTGCCTCCATGTGTACAAAGAGATAACTTGCCCAGAGTCACACAGATTTCAAGGCACAGTGGCAGAATTTGAACCTTGAGTGGGGTTGGGGTTATCAGATTTCCTTCAAAATGAATTCTCAGGAGTGTCCTAAAGTATAACAGAAAATAGGATATTATTTATCTTACAGTTAATACATTGCCAAATTTGTGCCTAGTTTCCAAATGAATCAAAGGCCTTTTTACCTCAATATTTGGGGGGAAGATACTGAGATTTGTTACTCCAGTTATTAACTGCAGACATCATGGTAGAAAAGAATCACTTGTTAATAAGTGTTTATATTGAATAAAAATGAATAGGTGAAATTTCATTTACCACTGTCAATTGAAAAAGCACTATAAATAGAAATAAAATGCTAAAATACAAATAAAAGAAACCCACAATACAAACAAAACAAACTCAAACATCTGATTTTACAACTCCAAGATTTTACAACTGAAAACAGACACTGAAAATATTTTCAGACCAATAGAAAGGATTGAAAGCATGATCGATGTATATTACATTGGTTTCTGAAACTTACTTCAAAAAACAATTTAAATTTCTGAGTATACTCTATGAAATAGTTAACCTAAACCTTGTTAACACACTTTATTCTTACCCTTCCTTCTGAATATCCAATTATAAAGTCCTCAGCCACTCCCCTTGGTAAAAATGGTCTTTTAAAAAATACCCTTCCTTAACTTGAAGTAGTTGAAATTAAAGATAGATCTCTAAACCACAAGCTATTTAGCTTCTGTCCTGCACAGAGGTTCTTAAGTTGTCTCTGGAGGGCCTACCTTTAAGTTTATTGTGCTCAGAGTCCGCTGGGAAGAGGGAATCTGGAAAGAGCTTGGGGAAGGTGAGTCCTGCATACTTGGGTCGATTCTCCACATAGTTTCTTACTGTGGGTTGCAATTTCTTCATGAATTCCGGGCAAGGTGTTCCTAGTTGCTCAATTACCTTATTCCACTGGTCAATATCTGAGAATTTAATGGTTAAGGGAAAAAAAGAAGTGCAGACCACTAGCTCTTGCCTCTTGATCATCAAGAAGCTAACATTTCAGAATCCTGAACCATCATCAATAAAAACTGGAGTTTTAATAACCAACGTAAGATAAACATATAAACTTAGAATTGTCAAGCAATGAGTCCTTTCAGAATTTTGAATCTTCTTTTGGAACTTACACACTTTTGGAAGACAGTATTTTTTTAAACAAAAATAGGATTATGAATTTGTCTTTGGTTTGCAAATTTAAAAAGTTATCCAAATAACACAAGAAGAATGAATCATATCAAGAAAGCATCTATATAGTCATGTGGTTTACAATTAAAAAGTATACTTCATAGTGATATTTTTAACCTGAATCTACCTCAATCATTTATATTTTTAAAATAACAAGTACATAAATATTTTGAATAATATTTATTTACATTTTTCTTAAATTACCTTTAAGAATTTTCTTCTTTAAAAAATAAGCATGTTAAATACTATGCTGTTATTAAATAAACCTATGTGAACAACAAAATTCAACAAAAATTAATGATTTCTACTTATCCATATTACACATGGGATCAATGTAGTTTTGTCTGTTTTTAATTTTTTAATTAACACACAAAAATACACAAATTTATGGTGTACTACGAGGTGTTTTTTATATACATATACATTATATAACATTCAAATGATGGCAAGCATCTCTATCTTCTCATTTATCATTTATTTGTGGCAAAATCATTAAAAATTCTTTCTTCTAACTTTTCTGAAATATATATTATATTATCTTTATCTATAGTCATCCTAGAGGTAATAGGACACCAGAATTTATTTTTCTTATCTAACTAAAATGTAGTATCTATTGAATCCAGCTCCCAGCTTCTCTTCTCTCCCCTCTCCAGCCTCTGGTGATTGAGAATCTCTTTTACCTCTATCATTAGTATTTCATACATCAGAACTTTGAGTATAATAAACGCCACCCATGAAAACTGAAGAACCAGCTAGAAGGAGCTGATTCCATATTTTCTTGCCATAGGACAATAAATGATAGAGGAATAGAAATATGTCTTAAATCCAATACCTCCTCTCCTCTCTCCTTTATTGTTTATTCTTCCACATCTCTTTTCTTTAGTTTTACTCATCTCTACCAAAGTGATATAAAACCATTCAGAGACCCTCACCATAAAAATTGAGGGATGAGAAGCCTTTATTTATAGTTATTTGAAATGGTTGGACAAAAAAATTGGCAGTTCTGATAAAAGACAAAACTAACTATCTTAATATGAAAAACTCTAAAATACAAACAGTAGATAGAAAGTTGAACAATGATCATATTATTTTGCAAATTTTCTACCTCCCTTATAACCTGACTAAAAAGACCTAAATTGCTGTATATACTCTCAGTTTCTATAATGGAGTGTGTATATAACTATGGACTATCAACAATGAAATGCAGGTAGGAAAAACTGAAGTCTATTTCCTCACAAGATTTCAGCAATGATTTAAAAAGAACATGGTTCAGTGAAAGTTCATTAAAGTGCTTACGTGCATGAGACTATAGTAGTAAGTCAGAATCATCAGAAATAAAGAAATTAAAACATTATGTAAGGTTAGAGTTACAAGTTACTTTTAGACAAAAACTAATTTTACATCTATGGCTACAGGTAAGCTACAACTACTTAGATACATGTAAACAGAAAAACATTCATGATGTTAAGATTCAGTGCTTGTCATTGTAAATTTTGAAAGAGGGCTTTCAAAGACAATTAGGCTACCATGCCCTAACAACACATCCTTTAGTCATTGGTCAAACTTGCTTAGAACTCTAAATACTTGATGTCAAACTTACAATAGAGAAAAAAAATATCACTGAATTTTCAATAAAGAAGTCATAAAGAAGTGGCAAATGCTACCTGCACATAATTATATTCTAACTCCATTAAGCTAGAATCATAAAATTATTTACTAAAGTGCTTTTAAAGTAAGATTTCTCAAACAATTCTATGGTATGTTAGAGTAAAACTTGAGAGTCAGATATTCTAGAATTTGTTAAACAAGAAGTTTTATAGGTCATAATTAAGAGTAAATTAATAATTAAGAGTATGGTCAAAATTATACTTAATTAATATAAATTCTTTTAAATGAAACACTATTGTGCACCTTGATGTAATGATTCACAAAAAGAAGGGGGCAAAAGTCTTTATTATTTCCAATGAAATATTTTAATGTTAGGTATTGCCATTTTTGAAATTCTGTGCCTTTATTTTAATCCATCCATTTCAAGTTCCTTCTTCCCTTAAACACGTGTATGTTCCAGTGCATGTTCTTGTTTCCAGATTCTTATAGGACAATTACATGTACAGCTATGTCCAACTTAGTTGAGCACATTAATGATTTTTAATATGAATTTTTATAATCAAATGTAAGCCAAGACTTGAAGTCATATCTCCTGGTTCCAGGTCTAGTTTTTATTTCAAGTATTCCAGTAAAGAAAAGAGCAAATTTGGAATTGGTGTGGTTAAAATAATTGCTTTGTTTGGTCATAAACTGATTGTATAATTTGTCACAGGCAATCCTTGTAAAGAATGTCTCTGAAGCTACTTTCACGTCTTTCAGGTCAACATATTTATATAAACTATCAATTTTGTGCAATTATATATATATACAATATATATACAATTTTATATATAATATATATACAATGGAATTTTACTCATCAATAAAAGAGAATAAAATCATGGTATTTGCAGGTAAATGGATGGCGTTGGAGAAGATAATGCTAAGTGAAATTAGCCAATCCCCAAAAAACAAAAGCCGAATGTTTTCTCTGATATAAGGAAGCTGACTCATAGTGGAGTAAGGAGGGGGAGCATGGGAGGAATAGATGAATTCTAGATAGGGAAGAGGGGTGGGAGGGAAAGAGATGGGGCAAGGGATTAACAAGGATGGCGGAATGTGATGGACATCATTATCCAAAGTACATGTATGAAGACTCGAATTGGGTGTCAACATAGTTTACATACAAACAGAGATATAAAAAAAATATGGTATATATGTGTAATAAGAATTGTAATGCAAAAAATGTACATATGTAAAGACATGAATTGGCATGAACACACTTTATATACGAAGATATGAAAAATCGTGCTCTATATGTGTAATAAGAATTGTAATGCATCCCGCTGTGGTGTATTTAAAAATTAAAATCAATTAAATAAATTTAAAAAAAAAGAAAAATAAATAAATAAATAAACTATCAATTTTGTTGATATTTTAAGTAGAAAATAAGGTGACTTTTAAAGAAAAATTATTGATGATAAGAATACATAAAATATTAACTAGATTTTATGAGTATGTATAAATGTTAGCATTATGTATATTTTAAAATATAATGGCTAAAATTATTTTTGTAAAAAGATTTATTAGCTTTAGAACATCCATAAGTCTTTGTTTTCATGCTAAATAGGTTGTGGGTGTGAATATTTAGAGACTAGTACTATCCAGTTATCAAAATATCAGTAAATATATGTGTTTTATATTTTTGATATACTGTTTCAGAAAGTATTACCCTAACATAAATTACCAAAGGCATTGAATAAAAATGGGGAAATGACATTTAATAAGGACTATTTGAGAGTAAATTTCCTCATCTAATTCTAAATTCACTACACAAAAGTAAAGTTACATTGCAAAAAAGTTTGATTTGATAAGTAGAATATGATGACAAGACAATTTGCACATGTGGTTGAATATTATCAAGGTTTCCAATAAACAGTATTTTAATAGGAGAATAAAACAAACTACATATGGATAGTGAAGATGAGTATCTAAAATCCTCAGACTGAAAATTATTCCAGTTAATATCAGTTAGCTAATAGTTAACTTAAAGTTTAAACACTTCTCTTGCTTTAGCTTCCCTGGTTGGACACTTTCTAAAACATATCAGATGATGCCTTGAACATAATATATGAAAAATACCTCGTAACTTGCTGGGTATTTTGGTCATAATTATGAACATAATTTATGCTATGAACATTGAAGCCTGCAGAAGCTTCTGAGTGGAATCAAACAGAACTATTTAATGACTTTCTCCTTTTGTACATTTCCAAGTTCTATTTTTTTAAAGGTTTTCTTCCATTTTTAAAAATTACTTTTTGTTATTAGTAGTAACATTTCCAGAGTTAACATCATCATGATTTCTGACTTTCTTTCTATTCTATTTTAGGTACAATGGTTTGTGAAAAAAATTGTGACCTCTATTTACTATTTAGAGAATATCAACATGTGTCTTCAAATTCTTAGCTGTCCTTAAAGATAATATTGCCTAATAGAAATTTATGTATAGAATAGTACCAAAGGCTATTTTATCTTGCAAGCTAAGTAAGTAAGATGTTGAGAATGTTTTTATCTTTACATTAGCTCTGTAGAAAAGAATGCTGTGATGACTTAGTAATGTCTGCAATGAAAGTACAATAAGAAAATAGAGGCAATTTCCTTTGATGTTATGGTTTATATATGAGGTGTACGCACAAAAGCTCACATGAGAGACAATACAAGAAAGTTTAAAGGTAAAATGATTGGTTTATGAGAGCCTTAACCTAATCAGTGTATTAGTCCACTTGAATGAATTAACTGGGTGATTACTGTAGACACGTTGGGTGTAACTAGAGGTGAAAGATTGCTGGAGGCATATTTTTGGGGTCTATGTTTTGTCCCTATTGAGAGAAGCTTAACTTCTCTCTTTGCTTCCTGATTGTCCTGTTCTGAGCTGCTTTCTCCCATCACACCCTTCCTCCATGATGTTTTGCCTCAAGTTGGGCCCAGAGCAAAGCAGCTGGCCATCTGAGACTGAGACCTTTGAAACTAAATAATTTTTTCTACTTAAATTGTTCTTGTCATGTCTCTTGGTCACAGTGGTGAAAAAGCTAACTAAAACACAATTTGGTACCAAGAAGTGGGGTCATTACTATGACTAACTTGGCCATGT